CAGCCGCTTCAGGGCGACGCAAGCCCGCTTGTGGTCGGGGGTGCGGTGGGAGAACGAGAACAAAGAAACGCTGTGGCGGCTCGCTGTGGACGGCATCCCCCTGCCCGGCAACACGCACCTGGCCCGCATGGTGCCTGAGCGCTGTGGGTGTGGAGGGTTCGGCAACGCCAGCAACCAGCACTGCTCCCCACGCATGCACCACTTCTGGGAGTGCCCCGTCGCACAAGCTGTCCGGGAGCAGATTGACCGACACATACAGCCCTCCCAGGAGGCAGCGACAGGCGGCATCACCCGGAAGCAGCTGTGGTTGGTCCAAGCCCCGACCGGCTGCGAGCAGGCCCCCTGGGACGTGATCGCCCTGGTGGCCCTGTCTGCTATGGAGGTAGGCAGGTGCTGCCTGCGAGCAGCCGGACGGCGACTGGAAAGGGCGGCTAACCCCGCGACAGAACAGCCAGAGCAAGCGCAACAGATCCAGGCGCAAGGGCCCCAACAGCGGCGGATAACGGACTTCTTTCACCTGGCCAACGGAGTGAGACCGCACGAGGGGCCGCCGCTGAACGCGCCGGTACTCGAGGATCAAACGCAGGGGCCCAGCGCGGGACCGGGGACGGCAACAGCAGCAGCAACAGCAGCAGCAGCAGCAGCAGCAACAACAACAACAGCAGCAGCAGCAGCAACCCCCCTGGAATACGCCCGCGCTCGGGCAGTAGTGGACTTCTGGGCGCGCTTGCGCTCTTTCACTGCGCTCAATGTCCCAAGGCGGGGCTGGGACGGAGTGGGACCCCACCACCCGATCCTGTCAATCGTCGGGGGAGCACTGCGCTGCGCGGAGGCGGTGGACATCACGACCTAATGGTCAAGCGGACGCGGCGGGAGCTGGAGTTTAGGGGATAAGGGGATAGGGTGTCGAGGCGCGGAGGGGGGATTTGAGGTGGTGGGGATGGTAGGGAGGTCGAGAGGGAGGTTGAGGGGATAGGTTGCGAGGGGGGCGGGATCAGGGATGGGGCTTGGGGGGGTGCCGCGCAAGGGGACATGGGGGAGGGAGGGTTTATTTGCCTGGGGGAGCCGTACCGGCGGAGGGGGGGGAGACCGGGGAAAGGGCGGGGAGAGCCGGGGGGGGGAAGAGGTAGAGAGTACACCAAGAGGATGTAGGGTTGAGGGGTGGTGAGTGGAAACAGGTGGCCGTAGCGAGGGCGCGGATGAGGGGGAGGTGGGCACCCAGAAGGGGGGGCCGTACTCGAAGGTGCGCGCGTGGTGCAGGACTAGGTTCTTCAGGGTACGAGACCGGGTTTTTCGTGTTGCGGCGTCTAGGTGAGATAGGATCTTGGGAACCAGCCGTCTTGGTAGAGCGGTATTGGGGGGGCGCCGAGCTGGCTACCCTCCCCCCCTGTGGTTTCCGGAGGCTTGATCGCCCTGCGTTGCCGCAGGGTCTTCCCGTTTGAGTACTTTCCAAGTTAGACCCAGTGCTGTGGAAGGGCGCGGACTTGTGCGGTGTTACCCCCTCGACGGGGGCTATCTCCCCTGGACTAGCCCAGGGAGGGAGAGGCGGAGGAGGGTAGTAGTCTAAGGAGGCTGTTTGGCGTCTTGTGGTGTGAGCTCTTTGCGCTCTTTTTTGCGTGAGGATTTTTGAGCTTGGTGACCTCCCCAGCCCGGGATGACTCGTCGGGCTCCCGGTCGCCCAGGTCCTGGTAGCGAGCTCTCTGAGATGCTCGGTTCGTTCGGTCGGCAGGAAGAGCCCCCCAGTTGCGACTTCGTTTATGTTAGGAGACCAACGGGCATAGATCCCGTCTAGTTGGAGCGCCAAACAAGCGCTGTTGCGTGCCGGCCGTCGTTTCCCGTGCGGCCTGACCCGGGGGCGGAGTGCATGAGACTAACCAGCCGTATGCACCCGCCCCCCGCGCTGTGCTTCGGCCCTGGGCCCCCGGCTTTTCAGCCCACAGTGTAATCAACGTCATACATACATACATACATACAATTGCGCACAAATACAAGCCACTGAACACCGCAACAGTAACCATCGGCCGGTTTTGCAGGTTCTATCTGAGTTTGCTGACCTTATCTTTGCAGTTTGCTGCCTTTGTGCTTTTGCTGTCGTTGTCGCTGTTGCTGCTTGCCGGCACGACAGGAGAAAAACACCGCGCCACGAAACACCCACAGCAAGAAACGTTGCTCCGAACGTATGTACGACATCACTACATCACGAACGGACACAAAGTGGCACCCACGCAGTGAACATACGGGGAAAGACCTTCATGCCGTACTCCCTACACGCCGCACCTTACCAAGGTACAACAATTTCATACCGAAATCCCCCTCCGTCACCAACTCGTCTACCCATTTGCAACGCGCCTTCACCCATAGAATCCAAGAACGATGGCCGACCTTGATACGACGTGTAACGGCCTCACGGCCGGAAATCTAGGCGCGTTCTAACTAACGTACGACATGTACGGGCGACCGTGCATCCGGCGTCACTCACCAGCAGCGGAAGACGATGTGAGCTTGACTGCGTTGATTAGAAGCGTTGACAATGGGGGCCCTTGCTTCACGCCGACGCAACATCGCACTGGGGTCTTGGAGAGTTGAAATGTAGTGTACGCAGAGATTCTCGTTGCCAGGTGGAATGCGGTCGATCTGGAAGGTCTTGGGCAACTCGAATGAGCAGTCGTCTCTGTCGCGAGGAAGGTCACGGACATCGGACGAAGTGGTCATGTCTCGCCTAACGACGTGTACTTTCCTGCCAGACCGCCTAGCTTTCAGCCTTCGTAGGCTCCTTACACAGCTAAAGCACAACTGTCGGGATAACGCTCAAACGCTGCATACGCCCATATTCTTGCAGCAGAGCGCTGCACAAACACATGCCCGTCGAAAGCCCGTCGACAAAGCCCCTTGTGCTTCAAAGATCCATACACAAGCTCGAGAAGCAAGCATCTCACCTCAAAAAAATGAGTTGCCGCAAGTCGCACCTTGCCCTCACAGATGAGTCAGGCAAGTCCATGTCCATGAAGCGGCGACGCTGTGCCTGAAGCAACGTCAGCAGGGTTTCAATAAAGAAATGCTTGATCTAACCGCGTAATAAATTAGAGCAATGGAACTGAAGTGCGGCGGCTACAGCATGAAGGTTTTGCAACGAACAGTACCTTGCAAACGTTTGCAGGGTCCACAGCAGCTTCTCAGGGCGCCGCGCAGTTGTTCAGGCTTCCTCATTTGCTGGTCATATGTAGGAAACTAGCAGCTTTTACGGACGCACCAGAGCTGGAACAGGCCGAAAAGAAGGGCTCAAACGTTGGGTGAAAGCCTGTGATCAAATATCGGACGTTGTGCACATTTGCTAATGGAGCTGGAAGTGCTATGGGAGGTGCCTTTTGTCAGAGGCCAGCTAAATTGTACGGCGCAACAGCTGCAAATCCAAGTGTGTTGGTAAGGTGCAGTTCGGCGAACTCACTTTGTCGACAGTTAGCCTATTAAACGTTTATATTATAGCTGTATGTCACTGCATTATCACGTTCACCTCCGTTCCTCTGCACCTGGTTACGTCCTCCCCGGAAGCAAGATCCCTAAGTGCAAGCCCTTGCAAACAACAGGTCAAGTTATCATGAAGGCCGTTGCTTCATTTTTGCTTGTGTGGCATAGCGGGCGATTGACGTAATCTGCCCATGGCGGAAGTGCCAAGAGCTATTGATACAGCGTTATGGTTCTTGAAGTTCTTCTTGAGTATCTAAGGTGCTTTAAGTCACGTTTGCTTACAAAAGGAACTGCGGCCCGAACAAGGGCGCCATGGAACTATCATGGGGAGCTTTCCTTTGACAGGGCTAAGCCATCCGTAGCTTCTTCTTTCGAGGTCATCCATCGATGCACCATCATTGTCACCCAGTACTGCTGTGAGCAGCGAGATCGTGCACC